TAATTTTAGTTAGATCATCCATGCTGTTACTTTACACCAAATTTTAAGCATTTTCATTTTTTTTGTAACTCTTCATGGAGTTACAAAAGAAGGCGTATAGTAACGTTCTTATTAATAAGCGTTTGGAAGTACTTAGTAAAAGCAAATAAAGAGCACTTACGTAAGGATTAGTAATAACTATATAGATAAATCATTTAATTTAAGGCCGGAAAAATGTTTCAGAAGAGCTAAACCCATCAAAGCACTAGAGCAAGGTTGTTGTCTTTTAGGTCGAAATTTCCATTTCTAAGAAGAGTGGGCGAGCAGAACGAACTGATGATTGAGAACTAAAGATGAGATGCTAAATGTGGCATGCGACAATAGTCGTATGTAGAACCCCCATTCATATAAAAAATTGAAATTTTAGTGTTTGTTCCTTACATATGAAATAAACACTTACAAAAAGCCGAATAACTGTTTCAAATAGCGTAAAGTTTTATGCTTTCTAAGAAATGGATACCGTTAACTTGATCAGTGCTACTGAAAACTGAAAGTATCGGCAACAATGTCTATATTTCTGGCATATTTTTTAACCTTTAATGTAATAATACATAACCTAACGAAAAAAGTTCAGGGAATTTTTATTCTTCCGGTAAATGTATTTTAGCAACACTGACTGTACTGGTTTTTTTCTAACTTAATAAAATTTGAAATCTGTTTTTTTTTAATACAAAATACAAAATATTTTTGAAGTAAATTTTATTCGTAAGTACTTATAGCAATTTTAAAATATGAATTTCCATTAAAACTCTGAAAAACTATCACCTGCAAAAATGGAATGTTTCTGTTGTTTCTGCCCCCAACACTACAAAATTTTCAACTTCTTGTATTTTTAGTAACTGCTGCACGCCTAAAACAATGTTCTGTGTACTTCTCAGAACTGTATAATAGCCCATTAACTCTAACATATTGCACTTGAACTCTAATAATGTCCAAAATGAACAAAAATGCCACATTTACCCACAGCTGTATGAAAAAAAGGCAGGAAGTTTTCATTTAAATTTACTTATCAACGTAACGGAAGCCACCAAGTTTGGTAAATATTGTTCTTTTCTAACTAATCTAAATAGAAACATTTAAACCGCAAAACCGATGGGTTACTACTCTTTATGCTTATGGAAATTTAATCCCTGAATGATCTAGGAAATTCGCTGTATTTCCACCCACATTGATGATAAATAACTGAGGATTTTGTGGTAGATGCTACAATCGACGTCTCTAAAAACGAAACAAACCACACTTTATCATGGGTGTTACCTGTTATCTATTTAAATTTAGTTAAAAAAATGTTCAGTTGTTGTTACAAATTTTAAATAAAAGACACGGAACGTTTTCAATTTGTTTAAATGTCCATTTCAAAAAACAAAAAGAAACTAGCAAAAAATATTACGTTGTCCTGGCCAACAGTTTTTTAAAATAATTACAGTTTTATTCGTGGAAACAAATAGCGTAAAATACAAGAAAATGTATTGGGTTAAATTTCGAAAATTATCTAAAATGTGTTGAAAGGGGAGTGATGGTGATGAGCAGAAAATTTCACTTTTGAGAAAGTCGTCTAAAAATTCCCAAAAAATTCAGGGTTATAGATATAGACATGCTGGGTCCAAAAATATAGCGCGTTTATGGTAACCGAGCAATATTTTCGGAAAATTCGGTGTGAAATTCGGATTATTTGAAATTTTTTAAAATTACGAAATTTTAATGCACGGTTCTGGAAAAACAGTTCGAGTTATCGAAGAGACGAGGCCGAAAGTGACTTCTGCGGCCCAAAATCTACAAGAAAATGTATTTAGTTAAATTTAGAAAATCGAGAAAAATGGGTCGAAATTTGCGTAATCCATTGTGGAAAATTTAATTTTTGAAAAAATCGTCTAAAAATCCTCAAAATATTCAGGATTATATATCTTGACGTGCTGATTCCAAAAATATAGCGTGTTTATTTTTATTTAATATAATTAAGATTTATTTCTTGAAGCTTATTTCTAGCACTGTATGAAGTTGTTATTCAATTTTCTGTCAGATTTTTGGGAAATTCGCTGATAGGAACAAATCGCTAATTCAAATACGCTTTTCCTCAATTAATTCTGGTTATCGAGTGTTTTGTATTTTGGTCACAAAACATACTCATTCTTTACACTTAATTGCATAGAGTGATTTTTTAAATGTTTGCTCTAGTTGACCATAACGCTTATGGCAGCCGTTCGAATTTCACAGTCAACAAATTTAAATAATCACAGGATACAAACCAAATTTTATAACAGTATGTTGGTCTAATTGATCAAAAGTTCTAAAATTTGCAACCACAACAAATATATACATACTTTTTTTTTTATTCAAGAATTTTATAAACATTGTTATATAATAAAGATAATTCATTAAAGCTAAAGTGAAAAATAAAAAATTGCATACAAATTAAATTATTCTAAAGTTATTTAAAAAGCCTTGGACAGTTAAAAATTGGTCGAAGGTTATTTAGGCAGGACTTCCCTCCCTCTGAAATACAATAAATTCAGTTTTTTTCGAAAAATTATAAAATTTCATTATGCTAATTTTATTTTTGTATGAGAACCCTTATAAGTTAAAATAAAGATATCTATGTAAGGTTAAATTAAACATAAAGAAGCGTGCTGGGCGTACGTTCCAAATTTTTTTCCCTTGATAAAATTTTGTGATGACGTCACCATTTTTGTAAAGATACGTATATCACTTTGGATAGGTACCGTGTAATACTAATAATATCAGTACTGTGAGAACTTTTAATGCAATGATAAATCACAAGTATAGATTCATCACATTTGACATATTTTGGATAGGATTTATTCGGCAAAATTTTGAGGTAGCGTAATCAATTTTTTGGGAGAAGATAAACGAATAAATTTTGCTTAACGATTTACCATGATTACAATGACCTTAAAATATTTACAAGATTTCCGAGAAATCGATTCTATAGGTTCAAAATTATATTGTTGCACAGTTTTGAATTTTTTTCAAAAATTGGGGTGAACACTCGACACGGATTCACACACCGCCAGTTGCAGGAGTATCTTATTTTAAGAATTTAAAAAAAAACTTTTTATTATAAATTTTGGAAATGACGTCATTCCATAAGTGGTGGGGATGATAAGGCAAATTTTTGTTAGTATTTAACCATCTACATGATATTCCTAATATACATACAAAATATGAGCACAATCGGTCCAGTAGTTTCGAAGATTACTTGTCTAATAACAATGGATACAGACGGACAGACGGAAACGGGAGAACACTTTTTCGTACTCTTGAGATTATGACATGTCGTGAAAACAGTGAAGTGGCAATCATGAAACTTGATACTGGAAATTTTTGTTTATCTTATGACGTCATATATTTTGTGATGGGGACCTACATATAGTAATTGCTAAGATAAGACTGAGTTTGGCAAATAACATATCCTCTAAGATAATAGAGGGTGGGTGGGCGGGGCTTAAAATTTGATAAGATAAGACTGTTTTTGGCATTTTTGACATATCCAGAAATCATTTTCGGCTTCTATTATTAGTTTTCCCTCCCACTCGACCGAAGAACATAATTAGCCCCGCCCACCCACCCTGTCGCCTTTTCAGGGATTGATTTTCTGCAATCTGAATGAAATGAATGACCTTAAACTGAACAGAAATAAAATTTGTCATTAGAATGAAAAGAGGGTGGGTGGGTGTAGCTAGTACTTGCTAAGATAAGACTGAGTTTGGCAAATAACATATCCTCTAAGATAATAGAGGGTGGGTGGGCGGGGCTTAAAATTTGATAAGATAAGACTGTTTTTGGCTTTTTTGACATATCCAGAAATCATTTTCGGCTTCTATTATTAGTACATAGGGTGAGTCACGCTCGCGCTCTTGGTTATCCCATTAATTATTAGAAATTGAAAAAAATTAAACAAAAGTTGTACAGTTCTTTGAGAACCATAAATAAAATTATTTTTTAACTATACAAAGTGTCTTTTTAAAGCGTAGTTTTTTTCTATTTCTACATATGCTGATACTTCTCTTCTTAAGGTTTATAGCCAGAGTTTATCTTTGAATTTCGGATTCGATATCCCAATTTTCTTGATTTTTTTTTTTAGAACGGTTCACAAAAACACGGTTATTTTTAAAACTTGTTATATTTTATGGAAATATTTGTATTTTTTTTATTATTATAATTTATTATTTACTCTATTTAAACCCATACTTCTGCGATCGAGGTCTTTTTCGAATATCCATTGCGACTGGCGCTTCGAGACTTCCGGTATACGGCTCCAGACTTGTGTTTATGCGACCGCCGCTCGGCCGTCGCTGAGTCACCCATCATCGACACACATACTAGAAAAACCCATAGGCGTCGTACCAGGGCGGCGTATGGGTTTATTTCGTAACAATATTCTCAAAGTAAACTAAGTAGACCAAACACTGATATATAGAGATTAATTTTAATTTTTTATTCCATTTTGACAATTTAAATTGCCTTTGTTAACTCCATAGTAACTTTCATAAGAAGTTCGTGATTCATTTCAGTGAAATCAAAGCGTTTAGTGAATTCAAAAACTTCAGTAAACAGATTTTTATTTCTTCTGCAAAAATACTAACATTGAATTAGTTTTTGTATTTGCGGCGAATGGACAAAATAATGTTTTGATGATTAGTTTCTTGTTTCGACACGGAATTTGACGCAGAGGAGCGTACTGCAGGATTTAAGCAGATCTATGTGATGATTGTTCAATGATTCTTCTCGAAATTTCGACTTTATTATTCAGAGAATCCTTTATGTATTCTTCCACGACACTATTCGAACGCTAGCCATCGTGTCCCTTTACAACTGTCAAATTTGCCCCAGAGTCTGCTAGTAGAGTTGTACTCGAACGCCTAAAACTATGATCCGTATATTCTTCTGGATTTTGAAGGACTAGAAATTGTGCAATTTTTTTGGGAATTATTGAAAAAGTGTTCACTTCTACAGGTTATACCGTGCATTTATTAAGAAATTAAAAACCGTCTAAAATCTCCATGTACACTGTACACAAATTACAATTGCATTAACAATATTTTAAGACAAACGTTAAAATATCGGACTGTCGAACCACTGATAGACTTTTTCTGCATCAAGATCCGTCAGGTACCCTTCGCACTTTCCTCTGAAAATTAAAAATAAGACTACACGTTTCAAAATTTAAATAGAGTACGTACCCTTTTTCTTCAAGACATTCAATAATAGGATAATCTTGTTTAAAACACTGAGGCCCCAAAATCGTAAAGTACGTGTACCCGACACTATCAGCCACAATACTGTTAGCTTCTTTCAAACACTGATAGAATCGCGTATCACAATCACAGTGTGACCTGGTAAAAAGACCAGTATTGACTAACCCATACTTGGTCGAATCGGCCGCCATATTGTCGGGACAAACGTCATGTTCCCTGCAGCAACTATCAGTTCTGGAATATCTCCCCAAATCGTCGAACGAGTTGGAAATGTTACCATCGCCACACCATTTGGTACCTACATAGAAGCAATTTTTTATAAACATTCAAAAATCGAACTAAAAAGCATACCTGGATATATCGCCTGTATGTTAGACTTAAAAGTTTCCATGTTACCACCAGACAGGGTTTTATTACAATCGAGCCCTTTAGTGTCGCTACTTGAAAACGTTCGCTTAATTGCTTTGAAGGTTTTGGATGCCCCTCGTATTAACTCGCGCCCTACAGAGTCAAAACTGCCACGTTCTCTTTCGTCGTAGATGCGATTGATATTGTCGTTGTCTCTGGCAGGAAGAATGTACTTTGCAGGCCGGAAAAGTTTATTTTTGAAATATTCATAAGCTGAAAAAACAATAAGACTGTGTTAGTACTGAAATGTACTAAAGCCGGAATTACACATACCTCCAAATTCAAAGCAATGATGCTGGTGGACCAGAAACACTAAAACACAAGTCGCCAGAAGCGTTAATGATGGAACTGAAGGAGTCTTCATTTTTCCGGAATCAGTTAATTTTCTTTAAGTCGATTACCGTTCACCACAGAAGTGTTAAAGGAACTGGATGTATTTGCCATAAATCGCCGACACTTAAATAGGGAATGTAACATCCGAAATTTTCCCAATTTTATCAAGTTGTGCACCAGTTTTGCGAAACGCCGCTCTTTCCGGTTTGATATATTTAGATGACAGTTTGAGGAAACTAAACCACAGAGCGTGTTTTAGTAGACTTGGGGTACTACTCGTTTTCTAATGGAAAATTTAAGGCCTGGAAAAACATAAACCTCGGGAACTTCGAGTGTATTTTTCCCACACTGATAAGAGTCTGGAGTCTTGTGGCGGGAACTAGATTCGAGGTATCTGAAAAAGAAATTAACCACATTTTATCGTGAAAAATTAATTGAAATATCAACAATATAACGAACAATTTAATCACGTCTGCCGTATGTAATAACTAGGCATTTTTAAGTCCCAAAATTGACGAATTAGGTTATAAAAATCTTACATCAAAAAAATATATATTAAAAAAAAACATTAAACAAAACATTATAGAAACAAATATTTTGTGTAACCAACAAAAAAATGATTAAATAAATAAACGATCTATAGTTACGTCCACTAATTCTAAGTTATCGCAAAAAAATGCTGATCAAATTAAAGCAAGTCGTATTTAACAAAAAATAAAATATTAATTCAGGTATTTAAAATAAGTTACAAAAACAAATTATATATTTATCTAAATTTTCGATTGTAAATTTACACCTTTGATCGCTTAGAACACTTTTAAGTTTTGAAAACGTGCGTTCTATATCACAAGAAGTGATGGGTGCAAAATTAATTATTGAACAATCTACGTTGTCATTTATGTATGTATTGTTGGTAGCATTTCCATTACAGCAAATTACGTTATTTACGGAAAATATAAAATCGTATCCTGGATTTTTTTTTAATAGAGAACATAATTTTTGGAACGCCATTTCCCCCACCTTTCCTGGGTGTTTTTTAAAGATGTATACACTTTTTCCACAATTTCCATACTTTGGTTTAATTTTAAACCTATAGTTTCTAATTGTTCTATTGCATCAGCAATAATTTTAAAGTGAGTTTTAATGTACAAGAGTTCATTTTTAATGTTTGCTTTATTCAGGAATTCTTGAGCTTTTTTAATGATTTGTGCATCTGTGGCTTCAAATGACGTTACAACTTAAAAATATTCAATCTAAGAATATGTTAAACTTTCTTTGTATTTCAAGTCAGAAAATGTTAAGTTTTCTTTGGGTTTTTTATTGAACAAAAAGGCGTCTTATAACTAAAAAAACATTCCTGACAATTCACATACTAATAATAAAATGACGGACCCTCACAGACTTTGCTTTCAATACCTTCAATAAATATCATACTATAACCACTAGATGTATAAAATAATTAATTTCAACACTCCTCCTTAATTATTTTAGAACAAAGTGATTCAAACAATTTTTTTGGGAGAGATTTTGTAAATATATCAGCAAGTTGGTTACCACTATCAACATGTTTGAATGTGACGGTCTTGCCAACATGTTCTTGAATGAACCTCCGTGGGATTTCTATATGCTTCTTTCCTTTTGTAGTTTTACCTTCATGAGCGTTGTACATCATATGAATTGCCGCTTGATTATCGATAAGTAATTCGATGGGTTTATCTTCCTTTACAATTTCAAGTTCCAGACAAATTCTTTTGATCCAACAAACATCGTCAATTGCAGACACGGCTGCTAGGTACTCTGCTTCAGCAGTGGATGTTGCTACCAAACGTTGTTTCTGTGTGTACCAAACGATTGGTCCTCCTCTCATCACAAGTACACCATAGTCGGAATCCGAGTAAGCAACGAGTGTGTCGCTTCCGTCAAAGAAGGTACCATGATTTGGTGTTCCTTTGAGATATTGAAAAATCCTTTTTACCATTCGCCAGTGACTCATCATTGCCTTTCCGTTAAAGCGACTTAGAAAGTTAACAGCAAAACTGATATCCGGTCGAGAAATTATGGCCAGGTACAACAGGCTTCCAATCGCTTCTCTGTATGGGATAAATGGCGATATGGGTTGATCGTTCTTCTTGTCCCCTTCTCCTGTTACCATGCCTTTCTCAATGGGAGTTGACTTTGCATTGCACGTATCGAATTTAAAGCCTCGAATGATCTTCTCTGTATACTTTGGTTGACCTACAAAGATGCCTTATTTGTCAAGGTGAATTTCTATTCCGAGGTGTGCGACCTTGTTTTGAACTTGACGGCTGTATGTGATTTCGAATTTTGAGTTGATGATGTCGAGTATCTTGTAGATTTCCTTATCATCATAGCCAGCGATAAGTCCGTCGTCGACGAACAAAGTTATTAGGATAGCCTTATCCTTATTATAATACAAACAGAGATCATCATCGGTGTTCATTAATCCTATTTTCTTCTCAAGAAATTTTGAAATCGTATCATGCCAGTTCCTCGGAGCCTGTTTCAGTCCATATAATCCTTTCTGTAATTTGCAGACATAGTTGGTGCCATCTTCAAGTCCTTCCCGTTGATGCATGTAAATTTCCTCCTCCAGATTACCATATAGAAAAGCTGTCTTGACATCAAAGGGAACAAGTTTCATCTTCTGGGTAGCTGCATGACTCAGCATAAGACGAATTGAAGTATGACGAGCTACTGGACTGAACGTTTCCGTATAATCAATCCCTTCTTTTTGTTCAAAACCGCGTGCTACCAAACGTGCTTTCAATCTTCCATCTGCCTTCTCACGTAACACCAATCTGCATGTCAACGGTTGAACTCCTTCGGGGCATTTCACAAGTCTCCAAGTTTTCATTTGTGTCAAAGAATTAAGTTCTTCTTGCATCGCACGTTTCCATCTAGCATCCTTCAGTGCCTCATTGACAGTGATATCCTGGAGTTCTCCTATCAAACCCACATTTGCACTTTTGTTCGATGTGAGATCGTCGAGTACATAATCTTTCAGTCGGTGTGACATTGTTATCGCTGATCGATCACGAAGTCCTCGCCTTGTCTGAGGTGTTGTCTCTTCATCTTCATCTTCAGTAATTTCGCCTTCAAGATTTTCTTGTTCTTGATCTTCATCCTTCAGACTTGTATCAGACTCGCATTCTTCATCTTCATGACCTAGATCAGTCTTTTCAGATATTATTGGCACACTTCCTATAATGTCTCGATATCTCGTTATCTCTTCATCAAAAATCACATTGTCAGAGCAAATGACTTCTCTTTCTCCAGGTGTGTATATTCGATAGCTTGATGACTCGGTGTCATATCCAACAAAGATTCCCTTCCTAGACTTCTTGTCGAGTTTCTTCCTTCTATGGTCAGTTTTCAGAACGTAGCAGTCACATCCGAAACTCCTCAGTTTGTTGATATCAATACGACGACCGAACCATAAGTCTGCTGGACTCTTGACGTTGACTGAGCTGGTGCCAGTCTGATTCAAGGTGAACACGACGTAGTTGACAGCTTCTGCCCATAGATTTTCTTTCAAATTTCGCGCATGTACGACCGACCTCGCATATTCCACCACGGTTCGCATTTCCCTTTCAACTCTGCCATTCTGTTGTGGTGTGTGAACGATTGAGAACGTATGCCTGATTCCTCGCTCCTCCAAAAGTCGACATGTGGTTTTGTTCTTTATTTCAGTTCCATGATCCGACCTCAGTTCTTTCACCTTCCTTCCAAATTGATTTTCAACTTGTGTCAGAAATATCTTCAGCTTGTCTGGAGCTTCATCTTTCGACTTCAGATAGTAAACGGTTCGAAAGTGCGAATAATCATCTTTAAAGATCAGGAAATACTTCGCTCCTCCGATCGACGTGACATTCATTTCCCCAAGATCTACATGAACTAGATCCAATGATTGAGCTGCTACCTTCTCATTTTTGGGATGTGAAATTCGATGTTGTTTCCCATAAATGCATCCTTCACAGACTCGATTGTTCCAGTCATCTATGTACTTGATGTTATTCCTGTCTAGGATGTCCTTGACGTACTTCAGGTTCTGATGTGCAAGTCTCTCATGCCAGGCGACAATTGAAGTTGCAATTACGCTGGTGTTCATACTGGGTAGTCGGAGCATCACTCTATACAAATTTCCTTCTCGTTGAGCCATGGTAAGAACAGTTTGGTTGTCACTTGACTTGATAATTGATACATCTTTGTTGCACGTCTCAATGTGTCCTCTGTCCATCACTTGACTGAGTGAAATCAAGTTAAAGTTCAAACCTGGTACATAGAGTACGTCTTCCAGAATGACTAGTCTCCAGTTGTTACCATTGTAGGCTTGAAGTTCTATGTTTCCAACCGCTGATGCCTTGAGTTGATTTGAGTCTCCCATAATGACTGTTACAGGTTGCTTCAGTTGTCTCAAATTCACAAACCAGCTTTTGTTGGAAGTCATATGTTGTGTGGCTCCACTGTCTTGGTACCAGTTAGCATTGACATCTTCCACTCGTTGTTGTTTTGGGAGCTCAGTACTCGACAAACCGACGGCTACATAAAGTTTGTTCGAACGACCTCCGAATCTTCTCTCATTCCTTTCCGACCTCTCATTATCCAATTTGTCATCATTCTTCTTTGGGCACTCCTTGGCAAAATGACCTATTTGACTACAGAGATGACAGAGGTAATTTTCTTTACAGTAGACCAAATACTTTCCACAAGGTTTGTTTCTGCAGTACTTCTTTATATGTCCCTTCTGTCCACATTTGAAACAAATGCTGGCAGCACTTCCACCTTGTTTGTTTTGTTTTTGATTGTCTTGTTGGCTTTTCTTCTTGTGCTGCATCACGAGTGCGTTGTTGCTTGTAGATTCACTTGATCCTTCAGCTGCTTTAATTCTGTCCTCTTCTAATCTCAACTTCTCAATCAGGTTTGAGATGGTTCTCTGATTTCCAGTGACATTGTCCCATGATGTGAGAAAATGGTAGAGACGTTGTGGCAATATGGTGAGCATTCGAGTCATTGCCCACTGTTCATAGTCGTTTCCACCCTATGCACTGAGATCTTGAGCTAGTTGTTGTATCTTATTGCAGTTTTCAACAGCTGATTTTGTGCTGTCAAACAGAAAGCCGAAAAATTTTGGCTGCAGACCTTCAATTTCATAATCTGACTTTTTGCCATACAAATTCTCTAACTTTTCGAACATTTGTTGCGACGTTTTACAACACATGATGTGTTTCGCAATTTTCTTACTAACATTTAAGCCAATAATTTTCTGAGCCTCTACGTCTTTGTCTAACCACTCTTCTACTTCTTTTTGGTTTGGATCACCAGATGGTTTTGGCTCTTCAAAGCTAGTAGAAATGGACGGCCAGCTTCTTCAGAAGATAACTTTCCAATTACTAAATGGGCTATGTATCTTCCTAATCTGTCCGTCGTCTCATCGACGCTAATCCGAATATTATTATTGCCAACAGAATTTCTAATTTGTTTAATTACCTATAAATTATAAAATTTATGTTAAAAAGTTTTTAAATAAAAATTCTAGTGCTCACCATATCGTAATCTTTTGGTAAATATTTTTGTCTCAGAGTGTTTTCTGACGGTAAATGCCTTCCTGTATATGTATGCACAAAATTTTTAAACTCAGGACAACTAACTTTATTCCATGGAATATTTGCTGCTGCAAATGCCCTACATAAATCGGTGCAAAATTGCGTAAAATCATTGTCGGAACTAATGTTTAATAAAGTCTGCTTAATGGATTTATTCTCGTTCTTTTTATGTGCATCGCCACTGCAGTGTTGTTAAAGTGTGATTTTTTTTCGCACTTAAACTAGGAAACAAAAATGTGAACATAATTCAAGCTTCAGTATTTTAAATGTTTACTTACAACTTTTCCACACACTTTGCAGAATAACTCATTGTCTTTGGCTGAAGAAGGAAATTGAAAATTAGTGTCCAAATTATTCCCTAACCATAATTTGATTTTATCTTTCGTGGATGATTTTACCTTAGGCATTTTGAGGATTCCTTTCTGTATGCACAAAAATCAAAACCGGCCCCAGCACACTCACAAAACACGCGAAGACACTCAGTATCACTAATAGTGTTAATAGTAATAAATGGGCGTTAAATAAACAGAATTTTTTAAATTCGGATAAATATATAAATTTCGCTGCAATGCCCGAAGTAGATATAAAAATGCAAAAAACCCAAGATCCGAAGCCTACTTAAGACAAACAGCGATAACACTCATCAACCTGTAGACGTGAGAGTAAAACAGAAACTAACCTAAACGATGTTTTCTACGAATTGCAATAATCACAATGCCGACGGTCCAGACTTTTTTATTGCACTGACTTCCTCTTATTGAATAAAACACTACATTTTATTTTGATTTTCGATGTTGTAATTCACATTTAGTTAATTACCAAACTGTCAGTCAGATTATCACTGACTTTAAAAGACACTAACTGTTTCTAGAATTTCACGACTGAACTTTCACAAATTCAAAGTATAGCAGTTAAATGTACATAAACCCTGCAGCTTTAATTGACTAGAATAATTCTAAGTCATTTGTGTAGGTAATAAAACTTACTCATCTATTTAGTAATTTCAGTATGATGTACAGTGCTTTTAAGACAAAAATAATGCAACATTTCATGATGAAAAATACTACAATAATGATTATAAAACAAATTAGAAATATTTACAAAAATACTGATAACGTTGAGACATCACAAAGTAAATAATCTAAACCGAGCTCTGAATTTACTTGAATCGAAAATAAAACGTCAGTCATAATCAATAAATTAAAACCATCACGATATTCTCAGAAACAAGGTGAGTCAAACCACTGATACATCTTTGGTTTAGTACGATCTACAACGTACTTTTCGCATCTCCCCCTACAACAAACTCAACATAAACATCACACATTTAAGCACTTCTTTACGTACTTTCTCCACTTCTCACAAGCGACTATCGGATAATCATTCCTGAAACACTGAGGCCCCAAAATCGTAAAAAACGTGAACCCAATTTTACTAGCAACCACGCTTTTGGCGTTTTTCAGACAATCGTAAAACTCCTTATCACAATCACAGTGTGATCGCGTAAACAAACCAGTGTTCACTAAGCCGTATTTTTCAGAATCGACTGGTATACCTTCCGGACAACCATCATGGGCTCTGCAACAACTATCAGTTCTGGAAAATAAGCCCAAGTCTTGACGGGACTGCGCAATGTCGCCGTCACCACACCATTTGGTACCTGAAACACGCTTTCCAGGTGACCATAACACAAATTTGGGAACGCACCGGGGTATATGGCCCTAATTCCTTTCTTAAAACCTTCCATCGTGGTATTTTTTGTCGAATCGGGTCCTTGGGTGCGCTTTGAAAAAGTGGATATAATTCGGTCGCCTAATTTTAAGAGGGTTTTAGATGTGTTTCGTACTACATCGCGACCTAAAGTGGCTAAATTTCCATGCTCAGCTGGGCTATGATTAACTTGATTTTTTGTTAAGTTGAGAGCTATTAAAAATTGTATTTAAAAGAAAATGGGGAACTAAATAACAGGCGTACCTTTAAGTATAAAGCACTCTTGTTGATGACTCAGTAGTACCAGAACACAAGCTATTGTAATCAAGATTTTAGACATTTTTGTTGTGTACATATATAAATGAGAAAATTTTTCAACGTAGACGTTTCTTAACCAAGAACTTGTAAAACTACATCGATACGAGTAAATGATTAGGTTTTTGCAGCAAAACTGTTAGATATATAGAAATACAAAAACTTAACCTTGGCAATACCACAGTTTTATTTAATTATAAAACAATTATGACAAACATTGTTCTGCTCTTTCCCACTTCGATTAAGTAACTTGAAGCTATAATTGACTGTGTAAACAAGTGTGTTAAAATAATACAATCTCATAAAATTCGCACTTTTCGCGGATAAAATGGTGCGATTGTTGTGGGGAAAATTATTTCCGTGTATGTCAGGCAGACAAACCGCTACATTTATCACCGGTGACCACAACACCAGTAGTTAGCCTTTACGTTGTGGATTTTCCGGTTAATGCCCAAATGCAGACAGACGAGTAAAATCACAATGCAACAAAGATAACATAATTAGTAAATAATTAGTTGGTATAATGTAAAGAGCAAATGTAGTTCGTGGACAGTAAGTTTAAAAATTCCCCCTGTGACTCATGGTCGAAAAAGTAACGGTACTAATGCGCACAATCATGTTAACAACTGTATTTACTCCATTAAGATTTATGAATTCCATTAGGAAATCAGAATTTCCCAGCGTAAATTACTGTAATGTTTCATTTTTTGAAAAAGCAAAAGCACATTTACTAAGAATAGGATATACAGAGTCGTGGCGAAGAGTACAGCGAAAAAAATCATTTTAAAATATTATATATATTATAAAACTAAAACAAATGGAAAAAAATGTACATATGCGTAAAATTTATTCAGGCATGTTTTTGTATTTCCTGCATTTTATTTATTCTAGGTCATTTTTTGTCTGACTCTGAATAAATTTAATATGTCTACTGACTATTAACACATGTAAGTGCATACAGTGTGTCCGATTTATGTTAACTTCTTCTGTGCACTATATTTTGTATACACAAACTCTAGAAATTCACGTATGACTTCCTACTCTTATGTTTTCTCGACTGACTGTTTGTCTGTCCGGATTTTTATAAGCAGATAGTCTCCGAAACTACTGGACCGATTGTTGTCAAATTTTGTATGTATATTAGAAATACTATAACCAAAATTTGTACTCGTGATGCTTCTCACCCAAATGTAAAGAAAATAAAAATAAATGGTAAAACACTCACCAAAATTTGTCTTCTCATCCCCACCAACAATGAAATGACGTATTCTCCAAATTTTACAATCGTTAATGTAAATTTTATATTCTTCGTTTATGGTTTATGAAACCGTGTTGAGTGTTTACCTTAGGCATTAAGATTTTTGGAAAAAAAAATATCATAAAGATTTTACAATTGAAACATGTTATATGGTTAATCAAAATTTATCCGTTTATGTCCCCAGGAATTGATGATCTTATCTTACAAGTTTGTCAAATAGCATACTCCTGAACTTGTGGTTTATGAATACGTGTTGAATTTTTATTCTCGATATTGGTATTTTTCGGCTTTTCGATTTGTCTATTTTTAAAAATTTCAATTTTGGACTTCTGCAATTCTTTCATTCTTCAAATTTTCGATATCTCGATTTTTTTATTTTTGTTTGCCGATATCCTCCCATTTCACAATTTTTAAATATTTCAATTTTTTGCAATTTTGACGTTTCTAAAGTGTCAGTTTCTCCATTTTTTGGATTTTTTTTGTTTTTCGATTTTTTAAGATTCCGATTTTTCGAAAATGCTTTGTGCTTCTTCGATTTCTAGATTTTCACTTTTTTAATTTCTCAATTTTTGGACTTCTTTTAATTTTGGGATTTTTAAATTTTTCTATTTTCCAATTTTTTTTCTATTTTCCAATTTTTCAATACATCCGCTTTGGGATTTTTCAGTATTTCGATTCTTCGACTTCTTCTTTAGTTTTTTGGAATTAGAGTTTTTCGTTTTTCTAATTTTAAATTTTTTAGTTTTTCGACTTTTTAAAATTTCGATTTCTCAATTTTTCAACTTTTCGATACTTCAATTTTTCAATTTTGAAAATTCCAGATTTTTTGATTTCTCGACTTTTCAGTTCGTCTAAATATGTATTTCCAATTTTTCAATTTTCCGAATTTTTTATTTTTCGACTTTCCAATTTTTCTTTTTTAAAATATTTCGATTTTTGGGATTTCTCAAATTTTCGATATTTTAATTTTTTAACTTTTAAAATTCTATTCGTTTTTTTGATGTTTCGATTTATCGAGATTCGAACATTTAGATGTTTTCAATATTTAACTTTTCGATTTTTCGATTTTGGCCTATTTCGGTTTCTTAATTATTTGCTTTCTCGAATCGTCGACTCCTCTATTCCTCCCCTTTGATTTTTCGTTTCCTTGATGTCTCAATTTTTGAATTTTTCGACGTTTCGATTTTTCGATTTCTCGGTTTTTTGATTTTTTATTTTTCGGCTTACTTATCGATTTTTCAGTTTTTTAAATGTTGGAGTTTCAATTTCTTGATTTAGTGTTTAAAGGACATATCCTCCACTCTGTAACTTTTATTTAAATAAAAACAAATAAATAATAAAATTTTCGATTTTTCAGTTTTCCGATTTCAAAATGTTTGGGGATTCGAATTTGTATTTTTTTGTTGTTGTTTGGATTTCTTGATTTTTCAATTGCTTGACATTTTAATTTTTCAATGTTTTAAATTTTAGATTTTTCGATTTTTCAATTTTTCGGTTCTTCAATATTTCTATTTTTCAATTTTTCAATTTTTCCATATCGCGGTTTTACGATTTTTTTATCTCGATTTTTTGCTGTCTTGGTTTTTCGATTTTTAAAGTATAATTCAACTTTTCAATTTTTTAATTTCTCAACTTTTCAGTTCTTCTATTTTTCAATGTTCCGAATTTTTAACTTTTTGATTTTCCAATTTTTCTTTCTTAAAATATCTAGAACTTCCAGTTTTTTAATTTCTCAATTTTTGGATATTTTTCCAGTTTTGGGATTTTTCAATTTTTCGATTCTTCAATTTTTCCTATATTTTTTAATTTTTGGATATTTCAGTCTTGAGATATGTATATATTTCAGTTTATCGATTCTTCAACTTTTCAATTGTTCGTTTCTGAAACTTTAGATTTTTCAATGTTTCAACTGTTTTATACTTCGATTTCTTAATTTTTCAACTTTTCGATATTTTAATTTTTCAAATTTTAAAATTCTGGATTTTTCGTTTTTTTTTTTTGATGTCTCGATTTATCGAGATTCGGACATTTAGACGTTTTGATTGTTCAATTTCTCAATTTTTCAATACATATTTAACTTTTCGATTTTTCGATTTTGGCCTATTTCGGTTTCATAATTTTTCGCCTTCTCGACTTGTCGACTCCTCTATTTCCCGATCCTCTAATTTTTCGATTTCTCGGTGTCTCAGTTTTTCAATTTTTCGATGTTTCGATTTCTCGTTTTTTTGATTTTTTGTTTTTCGGCTTATCAATTTTTCAGTTATCCGAGTTTCAAATTTTTCAATTTTTTAAATTTTGGAGTTTCAATTTCTCGATTTAGGGTTTGAAGGACATATCCTCCACTATGTAACTTTTATTTAAATTAAAAAAAATAAAAATAAAACTTTTCGACATTTCAGTTTTTCTTTTAGGTATCAGAATTTGTATTTTTTTATGTTTGAATTTCTTGATTTTTCAATTTTTTGACATTTTAATTTCCAAATGTTTTAAATTTTAGATTTTTCGATTTTTCAATTTTTCAATTTTTTGATTTTTCCATATTGCGGTTTTACGATTTTTTTATCTCGATTTTTTGATGTATTGATTTTTCGATTTTTAAAGTATAATTCAACTTTTCAATTTTGCGATTTCTTCAGTTTTCAGTTCTTCTATATTCCAAATTTTCAATTTTCCAAATTTTTAAATTTTCGATTTTCCAATTTTTCTTTTTTTCAATATTTGGCTTATTAATTTTTTTTAGTTTTTCAATTTTTGGATATTTCTTCCAGTTTTGGGATTTTTCAGTTTTTCGATTTTTTAAGTTTTCGATTTTTTTTGGATTTCTTTCAATTCTGGAATTTTTTCAATTTTTCGAGTCTTCAATTTTTCTTCTATTTTTCAATATTTCGATACTTCCGCTTTGGGATTTTTCAGTATTTCGATTCTTCGACTTTCCGATTATTCGACTTCTGGATTTTTACTTTTTTGGATTTGCAGTTTTTCGTTTCAAATTTTAGATTTTTCAATTTTTCGACTGATTAATATTTCGATTTCTCAATTTCTGAACTTTCCGATACTTTAATTTTTCGATTTTTAAAATTCTAGACTTTTTGATTTCTCGACTTTTCAGTTTTTCTATATTTCAAATTTTCAATTTTTTTCCAGTTTTAGGAGTTTCCAGTTTTTCAGTTCTTCAATTTTTCTTATATATTTTAATTTTTAGATATTTCAGTTCTAAGATATTTCAGCATATATCGATTCTTCGACTTTTCGACTTTTTGACTTTTGGATTTTTTTATTCCTCGATTTTGTACATTTTGAATTTTCAATTTTTCGTTTTGAATCATTAGATTTTTCAATTTTTCGACTGTTTTATACTTCAATTTCTCAATTTTGCAACTGTTCGATGTTTTAGTTTTTCAACTTTTAAAATTCTGGATTTCGAAGTTTTGGTTGTTGAATTTCTCGGTTAATTTTTTTTTTAATTTTGGAGTTTGAATTTCTCGATTTTTCAATTTTACACTTTTTCGATTTCTAAATTTTAGATGTCCGAATTTGTATTTTTTTTTTTGATGTTTGGATTTCTGGATTTTTCAATTTTTTAATATTTTGATTTTTCATTGTTTTAAATTGTAGATTCTTCGATTTTTCGATTTTTCAGTTCTTCAATATGTAGTTCTATATTTCAGCTTTTCAATTTTTTGATTTCTGGATTTTCCAACGTCTTTTTCAAATTCTGGATTTCACGATTTCTCGAGTTCTCAGTTCCTCTATATTTCAATTTTTTAATTTTCCGAATTCTTAAATTTTCCATTTTCTAATTTTTCTTTTTTAAAATTTTTCGATTTTTCAATTTTTTGATTTTTCGCTTTATCGAGATTCGGACGTTCCAATTAAATTTCTCAATTTATCAATTTTGGCCTATTTCGGTTTCTGTTTTTCGATGTTTCGACTTCTTAAGTTTTCGACTCCTCGATTTCTCGATCCTGTTATTTTTAGATTTTTCGATTAACCCGGTTTTTTGATTTTTTACTTTTCGGCTTTTCGATTTTCCTATTTTTCAATTCTTCCATTTTTGGGTTATTCAATTTTGCGCTTTTACGATTTTTTATATTTCGATTTGTTGCCATCTTGGTTTTTCAATTTAAAAAATTTTCCGACTTTCCGTTTTTTTCAAGCTTTATGTTTCTCAATTTTTTCAACATGATCATTTTTGGGAACTTTTCAATTTCTGGTTTTTTCAATTTTTCGATTTTTAAAATTTTTGGTTCTTAATGAATATATAAAAAATCTATTACATGATTATTGTTCCAATTCAGGAGGTTTTGGTAGTATCAAACACAATAACTAAAGAAATAATTCTTAGTTAAACAAAAAAATAGTTGCATGTATATCCCGCAGAAATTCTTAATGCTGTTAGAGTTGACATTGGCCTGAGCGCGCTCTGGTCTGTAGATCAAACAAGTTCTCATGCGACGTAATGTAAAAAATCCGATTCGAACAGTTTAAGAGATTGCTCATTTAAAAGCCGTTCCAATTTTGCTAACTTCCGAAATCAACCACTAAGTATCTTTAACAATAAACTTAACAGTTTTTTTACAACTAATAAGTGTTTATATACCTTTGATGAATACCTAAAATGTAAGGATTTCGATTGTTTAAATCTGTAAGTAGGTAGCCGAAGCAATTAATGACCTGTGTAAAACAATCTGTTTTTAACAAGAATAAGGGCCGGTTGCATAAACGCAAATCAAATTTAATCTCTGATTAACTCCATAGTAACGATTGTTATTATCATAGTTACAATTGTTCTTAATCAGAGATTAAATTTGATTTGCGTTTATGCAACCGGCCCTAAATGATTTTATCTTATCTTAAATAATGGCATTGTCTTTTGTAGCATTTTTTCATTTTACTTAGGAAAAAATATAGTTATCCAAACTCGGAGTAGTACTGAAAAACTTATAATGAGTTTCGAAATATTTTAATCAAAAATCAAAAAATTTGTCACGAATAAATTACAACTGTTACAATTTTCTTAAAAATAAAGATTGTCAAACCACTGGTACTTCACTTCTCCATGGTAGTCATATATGTATCTTTCGCATCTCCGCCTGTAACAAATTCAAATAGATATTCCCAACGTACTAGGACTTCTTTACGCACAATCCCCACTTCCCACAACCGATTATAGGATAATCCTCTCTGAAGCACTGAGGCCCGAAAAGCGTAAAGTACGTGAATCCGAGTTGACCAGAGATAACACTTTTGGAGTCTTTCAAACAGAGGTAAAACTTTCGTTCACAGTCACAATGCGATCTCGTAAACAAGCCTGTGTTCCATAAACCGTATTTCTGAGACCTGCCAGGTATAGTATGGGGACAGTGATCGTGGCCTCTGCAACATTTATCAGTGGTGTAAAAATTGCCCAAGTCTTCATAAGACTCCGGATTGTCGTTTGGACCACACCACTTGGTACCTAAAAAAAACACACTTTAGTGACGGTTGTAACTATAAACTAAAACACACCAGGGAATATGACACTCATTCCGGTGATAAATTCTTTCGCCGTGGTTTGTCTTTTGGAATCTATTCCATAAGTACTATTTGGGAAATTGAACATAATTCGGTTGTCTGGTTTTTTAGTTGGCTTAGACGTTATTAGTACACCATCACTGGTTAAGGCTTTAAAATGTGGAGGTTCAGCGGGGATATGGTAAAATTGATACTTTTTAGGGTCGAAAACTACCAACAATAATTTTTAGACGTAATTGTACCACTAAATAATAGTACACCTTTACCGTTAGAAGTTCGATTTTGACAATTCAGTGGTACTAAAAGACAGATTATTGGAATCAATATTTTAAACATTCTTGTTGCCTGCAGATGACGAAAATATTCTGCATAAATGTTTGATAACCAAGGACTTGGGGGACTGCATAGATAAAAGTATAGTATACTTAGAACTAGATGATACAGAAGTGGAAAACAACACCTAAACCTTTACACCTAATCGTTTTTAAATTACAACAAATAGAAGAGTTCCGCAAGGGTCTGCACTTGGAATCTGATTATTTTTAATTTACATGAATGACGTCTCGGCATATTTGCGAAACCACCTCCTGAAGGCAATGAAGTAGTATTTGATACAAAGTTCAAATCTTTTGATAAGAATGTAAATAGGGAGAAGATAATACCTACGTCACTTCGCTTTTTAACCAAAGAATAATTAGTGTAGATGATAGAGGTACTTCACGAGAATTTAGAATTTTAACACTGATGGTTTACTTTCAAGTCATGACCATGATGCTAAAAATGACAAAAATGTGTTAATGTCAACGTCGTCCAATAAAAAATCTGCTGAATTGATAATCTTGCCTCGGTAACTATGACTGATAAAATTATGATCAACTATAAAAAAGTCGAATTACAAAATACCGAAAAATCAAAAATTCACGATCGTATATTCGAAAAATCGAAAAGTGGAAAAACCTTCCGGAAAGTCAAAAAGTCGGAAAATTGAAAAATCGAAAAGTAGAAACACTGTAAAATCGAGAAATAAAAAAATTGAAAATTGAATGTGGAAACATCGAAAAGTAAAAATACTGAAAAATCGAAAACCAAAAAATCGAAAATCGAAAAATCAGAAATCAAAGAATCGTGGATCCACCAAGTGGAAATCAAAAACACGGAAAACTGAAACATCGAAAATAAAAAAAATCGAGAAATCGAAAATTGTAAAAATCAAAACTTCGAAAACGTGATAAATTAAAAAATCGAAAGACTTGAAATTCGGAAACTCGAAAGGTCGTGGATACAATATCCGAAAAATGAAAATTCGATAAATCGGATAATCAAGAAATCGCAAAATAGAAAATTCTTCCGGTAAGTCAAAAAGTCGGAAAATTGAAAAATTGGGAAACTGAAAAATCGAAAATTAAAAAAATTGTAAAATCGAGAAATAAGAAAATTCAGAATTAGAATTTCGAAAAATGAAAAGCAGAACAATTGAACTCTTAAAATGAAGAATCGGAAAGTCGAAAAATCGAAAAATAGAAAAGCGGAAAATTCGATCAATCACATAATATTCGAAAAAATTGAAGAACTGAAAAATGGGACATCAAAAAAACGGAAATCAAAAAATCGGAAATCAAAAAATCGACAACTGGAAAAATCGAAAATCAAAAAATGGAAAATTCGAAATTGAAAACTCGGATAATTGAAAAATCTAAAATCGCGAACCTGAAAATTCGAAAAATCGCAAACTAAAATAATATAAATTCGAAAACTCGATAAATAAAAAATCAAATAATCGAAAATACAAAGTACCGAAAAATAAAGTCCACGAACCGTATATTCGAAAAATCTAAAATCGAAAAATGGTAAATCGAAAGGTAGAAACACTATAAAATCAAGAAATAAAAAAATTGAAAATGCGAATGTGGAAACATCGAAAAATAAAAAAACTGAAACTCGAATATCACAACATAGACAAGTCGAAAAATTCGATGAATTAAATATTCGATAAAACGAAAAGACGAAAAATTGAAAATCAAAAAGCGGAAAACTGAAAAACCGAAAATTCGAAAAAGCAAATATTCGAAAAAACGAAATACATATCGAAAATCAAGGAATCGAATCGAAAAGTTGAAAATAAAAAAACGGAAATCCGAAAAATCGCAAAGCAAAAAATTATGAATTCAAAAACTGGAAAAATTAAAAAATTGAACAATCAAAAATCTAAAGGTCGAAAAAGTGAAATAATGCAAAATAGAGACTTGAAAAGCCGAAAATTCAAAATACCGAAAAATTAAATTTCGATGAATCGTATATCCGAAAAATCGAAAGATGGAAAAATCGAAAAATTTTCCGGAAAGTCTAAAAGTCGGAACTGAAAAATCGAAAAGTAAATATGTAAAATCGAGGAAAATTCGAATGGCGAAACATCGAGGAGTAAGAAAATTCGAAATACGAATATTGAAAAATGAAAAGTGAAACAACTGAACTCTAAAAATGGAGAATGGAAACACTGAAAATTCAAAAAATCAAAATCGAAAGTCGAAACATCAAAACCGAAAATCGAAGAACTGAAAAATCGAAAAATTGAAAGATCGAGAAGTCGATAAGTCGAAAAGAAAAAAATTTGAAACTCGAATATCGAACAGAAGACTCGGAAATTCCATGAATCAAAATTCGATAAAACTAAAAATCGAAAATCAAAAACCGGAAATCGAAAAATCGGAAAACTGAAAAATCGAAAAATTAAAAAATCCAATAATCGAAAACCCAAGAAATCGACTAAAAAAACCGAATGAAAAATCTGAAAATCGAAAATTCCAACAATTGAGATATCGAAAAGTCAAAAATCATATATTCGAAAAATGGAAAATCAAAATATGAAAAATTCAAAATTGAAAAATCGGAAAAATGAATAATTGAAAATAAAAACGTCGAAAATCGAGAAATTGAAAATTCAGAAAATCCCAAACCAAAAAATCATAAATTCGAAAACGCGATAAATAAAAAAATCGAATAAGCGAAAATTCAAAGTACCGAAAAATCAAGTTCACGAATCGTCTATTCGAAAAATCGAAAATCGGCAAATTGGAAATCGGAAAGTAGAAACACTCGCGAAATAAAAAAATTGAAAAATCGAATATCGAAAAATCGAAAAATCAAAACACCGGAAAACTGAAAAATCGAAAATTCAAACAATCGATAAATCGAAAATCCTAAAAATCAAAACTTCGAAAACTAGATAAATTAAAAAAATTGAAGAATTAAATTTCGGAAAATCGAAAGGTCGTAAATTTAAACTATCGCATAATAGAAAAAACAAAAATTCGAATATACAAAATACCGAAAAATCAAAAATTCCGGAAAGTCAAAGTCTTGGAAAATTGAAAAATCGAAAAGTAGAAAATTGAAAATTGAATGTGGAAACGTCGGAAAGTAAAAAAACTGAAAAATCGGATTTCGAAAAATCGAAAATGGAAAAATCGAAGATTCAAAACGTGAAAATCAAAAACATGGAAAACTGAAACATCGAAAATTAAAAAAATCGAGAAATCGAAAATTGTAAAAATCAAAACTTCGAAAACGTGATAAATTAAAAAATCGAAAGACTTAAAATTCGGAAACTCGAAAGGTCGAAGATACAAAATACCGAAAAATGAAAATTCGATAAATCGGATAAAAAAAATCGAAAAATAGAAAATTCTTCCGGTAAGTCGAAAAGTCGGAAAACTGAAAAATCGAAAAGTAAAAAAATTGTAAAATCGAGAGATAAGAAAATTCAAAATTAGAATTTCGAAAAATGAAAAGCAAAACAATTGAACTCTTAAAATGAAGAACCGGAAAGTCGAAAATCGAAAAATAGAAAAGTCGAAAATTCGATCAATCACATATTCGAAAAAATTGAAAAACTGAAAAATGGGAAATCAAAAAACCGGAAATCAAAAAAATCGGAAATCAAAAACTCGACAATTGGAAAAATCGAGAAATCGAAAATCGTAAAAATCAAAACTTCGAAAGTTCGATAAATTAAAAAATCGAATCGAATAATCGAAAAACTGAGAAGTCGACAATTAAAAACATCGAATGAAAAATAAAAATTCTTTCGGTAAGTCGAATAGTGAGAAAATTGAAGAATCGAAAAGTAAAAAAATTGTAAAAGCGAGAAATAAGAAAATTCAAAATTAGAATTTGGAAAAATGAAAAGCAAAACAATTGAACTCTTAAAATGAAGAATCGGAAAGTGGAAAAATCGAGAAATTGAAACATCGAAAAGTGAAAAAATGGAAAATTCGAATATCGAAAAATAGAAAAGTCGAAAATTCGAAGAATCACATATTCGACACAATTGAAAAACCGAAAAATCGAAAATCAAAAAACCGGAAATATCGAAGTATATATGTTTTGTAGATTTTTTTGTGCCATTTAAGTTAAGTAAGATTAACTTTTTTCTACAGTCTTATGAACAAGCAGTAACCCCGCCCATCTACTTCGTTCTAGTAACTACTGTTAATATTGTTCAGTCTTATCTTTGAAAGTACTAGCCCCGCCCACCCGCCCTCTACTATTCTCAGAAGGTGACATTTACCAAAATCAATTATATTTTAGCAGGTACTATCCCCGCCCACCCGCCCTTTTCTTAATTTTATTTCTATTCAGTATGAGATGCCTTTTTCATTCTGAGCAGATAAAATTAATCAGTGAAATAGAGGTGGGGTGGATGGGCGGGGTTAATTATATATGTTCTGTAGCTTTTTTGTGCCATTTAAGTTAAATAAGATTAACATATTTCTACAGTCTTATGAGCAAGCAGTAACCCCGCCCATCCACTTCATTCTAGTAACTAATAAGTGAGAATGGGAACTAATAGAAGAATAGAAGGTAGGCTTTAAAAAAAGCGTTATTCGTAATTTTTTTGTTATACTGCCTATTTGCTATAACATGTATTTATTATTTCTGAAGAAAACAATTAGAGAAGGGGTGGGTGGGCGGGGCTAAGTTCAACTTTTTCCTACAGAATCTTTTATAAGCAAGCAACAGCCCCGCCCACCCACCCCCTCTTCATTCCAGTGATTACTCTTAATGTTGTACAGTCCTTTATCAAAATCATTCTTCTCTTTACAAGTACTTTTATCACAAAATTGTGTAAAGTAAAAACTCAACTGAAATATGTGTCATTGTATTTCCGGTGTGAGGGAAGTTCTGTCGAAACAACTTTCGACCAATTATTTTAAATTCATTGTGATTATGAGTTACTAGAATTCTCTAATTATTTCCTTCCTTTCCTAGTTAATAATATCTCCATATTTTAGTTTATCTTTTCAGTCATTTCTTTTCCACTCTCTTTCATCTTTTCAATCTTCATAACAACTCTTCATTTTCTTCCCAGCAGTTTTCTACCAAATCTTTCTACACTTCTACCCAGCATTCTTGCAGTCTCAATTATTCAATTTTCTCTGGTTATTTCATTTCTTATTCTTTAGCTGATAAATAGAAAAATACCAAAAAATTCTTGAGAATTTTCAAAAAGTGTATGATTTTGTCAAAATTTTATACAACTTTCAACTTCTTCGGCGAAAACTTTTACAAAAAAAATATTTCTTTAGTTTTCATCATTTTTGTCAATATTCAGTTTACCGTGTGGAAAAAAACTCTGGTATATACTATCATATTTTTATTATACTGACTACACTTCGTACTGAAAGTCTATTGTCACAATGTAAAATTTTAGTATGGCAGTGTATTATTAATACAACAAAAATACATCTCACACAAAATTATCCTATAGCAATGAAACTGTTAAGACATCAATTTTTGATACGTAGTACCTACAAGGAAAATTATTTATTAAATAAAAACCTAGCCTCTAACTTATTGACAATTTGGGAAGAACTCTCACGACACCGTGAAATCCTCATCAGAAATTCATTAAACCTTCTTTAATCAAAACAAAATCTTTAAATCCGCTTCTTCAAAGCCTCTTCCCTTAGGGCTATCAGCACCGGGGACTCCTTGGAGTTTGTGAACTGCTCGATGTGAGTGAAGGGCTGCGTGGACTGCACAATACCAGCAGGAGCCAACAAGATGGGCGGGTTGCGATTAACTAAACAAACAAAAGTAAAACAAACCCTCCAAAAACAAACTCATCAAACAAATTATTACCCAACTCATCATCCGATTCGTCGATGGTCAAAACGGGCTCGGCCTCCTTATCCGGGAAATCAATAATAGTGACATTCTTGGGCGGCAAAAACGGTTCGCTTTCCACCACCACGGCCTGGTTGTCGGGTAAATCAAGAACTCCGTCATGGTTGACGTAGTCGAAGTTGATGGGTCTGGTAGGTACGGCGTACACCACATTGATAGCAACCGGGGTATCCACAGAAATGAACGTGTCGTATCTAACTGGAGCAATGACAGCGCCGACCCTGATCGGGAGTCTCAGCCCTTCGTGCACGATCTGGATCTCCGAAGGGAAGAGAACGCTGGTTTTCAAAGTGTACACAGTGATGGGTTTCTCTAGGACGATTTTGACAGCCGGGGTGCATTGGAGGAGCTGATTCCTGTCTGTTTTGATGGTCACTACGGGTTTCTTCTTGGACACACCCATGATGTGCCCTTTTGATACCGTGTTCATGTTGTTTTTGGATACTACGAACATGGGTACCACTGTGAATTTGTTGGTGATGGAGTATGGTACTTCGGCTAGGACATTCAAGTTTGGGAGGATGTCGGGGGTTGAGAGGTATGCGGAAAGGGCTGAATCTTCAGCGATGTCTGAGAATGTGGGGACGAGGGGTGAGTAGTGTGGTAGTTGGCTGGCATAGTTGGAGACGCTGTTGTAGTACGGGGCTCGGAGAAGCTTCAGGTATGTGTTATAGAGATGCGGATGGCTGGAGACAGACGACAAGGCTATGCATAAAATTTGAGATATAATCTGAAAAACAAAAAAACATAATTAGTATACAAATATTTGAGGAAAAGTACTAACAAAGTTGGCGTTGCGTGACCGGAAGGAAGATGGTAATTATGTGCTTAGGAACCAAAGGCACCTACATGGGTTATTATGTAATTGAAAAATTCATTGCTATTTCGTGACTTTAAACAAAATCATTGAACTCATTGCCATCTTTGCGTCAGGTTTAAGGTTATGTCAACACAAACTGCTTTGTTTCTTAAAATAAAAAAGTTGTAGCTTCTACTGGTCACTGCTTTTACAGTTCATTGCAATAAAGAATACTCGTACTTTTTTGGCAGTTTTAAACATTAAACAAAATAATGTTATGGTAAAATCGATTATTTGTGTACATCAATATTATTATTCGTTACAATGACAACGCAGTATTTAATATCGGTTAATAAATGTAATGCAAGGTTAACATTGCAAGGTAGTGAATATTATTACGTATAATTACGTTTTTTTAGTTTTTACCCAGAGCGGTATTTACAAATACGTTTAAAGGTTTTCTGTGGTAGTTGTTATTTATATTTTCCATTTTTTAATGACTTAGTTTGTATTTATCATAGTAAGATAGACACCAAAATATTTATTGAGATAAACTCGAAAACCCCCAAATTTAAGTTTTTAGTTCGGCAACCAGACATACACACGTTAATGGAATTACTACAAGATATTTGCCTAATTGAACGAAAGAATAACTAAAGTTTGCCATAGGACGAACATTCCTATTTCAAGGAGAGAACGATAAATTATAAACAAATTGTGTTACATAAAATTCAAGGACATATATCCCAAAAAGTGGTCGAGATTTTAAAATTCTGTAAACGTCACTGTTACTAGTTTAAAGAGGAAACTCCAATAAAACATATTTGCATTATAAAAAACTATATAAAAATTCTATGCATTATTCAAAGTACTTGTTAGTAAATTAAAATTAGAATAACAGTTAAACTTGTTTTTGTTCGAAATTTCGTGAATAGTTGTCTCTTTCAAAAACTAGCAAGGTTAGAAATTAATTTATTTGTAATTACTAATCGCGGATTAAAATTGATAAAAAATAAAACAACATTGGTTGAAGTTTAAAAGAGATATCCCAAATTCTAAAATAACCAAGTTTTGACAACAAATTTACCTTATTCTTTGACTATCTTTTTCTAAATTACGTAGTCTTCTTTCAACAATAAAAATAGTAAATGGTAAACTTGAGGTTGGAATCATGTTTTAAATGTCGTACTGTTGAAAATAGGTATATATTAAGAAAAATAAACCGATAATTATTTAAGCCCCACCCACCCACCCCTATCTCAGTCGCGATGAATTTTTCATTCGTTGTCAGATAGAGGGGTGGAGTTTCACTGCAAAATCCATATTTTTCTACATAATATACATATGATTTAAGTTCCTCTTTTTCTCTTCAATTAGGGGTAGTACATTTTTTATAAAATTAATCACCGAAATGGAGGCGGATGGGTGGGCGGGGTCAATTATATGTTCTTTTGCAGGGTGGGAGAGGTAAGTAACTAGGCTGTAAAAACAAACGTCAATAGTAACTTTTTTGTTGTACTATTTGTTATAAGATTTATTTCTTATTTCAAAAGAAAAATAAATGAGAGGACGGGTGGGTGGGCGGGGCTAAGTGTAACTTTTTCCGAGAGAGTCGTTTATAGGCAAGCAGTAGGCCCGCCCACCCACCCCCTCTTCATTCTGGTGACTACTCTTAATACTGTTAATTATTGACAATATTATTGTCCTATTAGAATCTTCGACGAATCTACTAAATGTTGGTGAGAAAACAGTTAAATTGTTCTTTCCTACTATAAATTGTTCGATCTAAACCTTATATTTCAAGTTTTTTTTTTCTTCGTTTATAGTGATAATAATAATGATGTTTTAATCGCCATATTATAGGTACAACTTACGTTAATGCCATATCAGATAAAAATTCAAAAAATGGAATGTTTGATAAAGAAAATATACAATAAAAAAGTAAATAATCTAAACATTCCAAAATTTTGGACACTGTCATTAATTTTTAAATTCTCTAAATATAAAGTGTTAATTTTTTCTTTTAAACAATAAATTTCGTCTTCTTTCTGCTGTAATAAATTTTGGTAGTACTATTTTTTTATAAAATTAATCAGCGAAATGGAGGTGGCTGCGTGGGCGGGGTTTATTTTTTGTTCTTCTGTAGAGTGGGAGTGGTAATTAATTGATAGAAACGAGGTTGTAAAAAAAGCGCTAATCGTAACTATTTTGTTGTACTATTTGTTGTAAGATCTGTTTCTTATTTCAGAAGAAAAATAAATCAGAAGACGGATAAGTGGGCGGGGCTAAGTTTAACTTTTTCCGAGAGAGTCGTTTATAGGCAAGCAGTAGGCCCGCCCACCCATCCCCTCTTCATTCTGGTGACTCCTCTTTATGCTGTTAATGATTCACAAAATTATTGTCCTATTAGAATCTTCGACAAATCTAATAACTGTTGGTAGGAAAACAGTTAAATTGTTATTTCCTTCTATAAATTGTGCGATCTACACCTTATATTTCAACGGTTTTTTCTTCGTTTATAGTGATAGTGATAACGAGATTTTAATCGCCATATTACATATACAACATACGTTAATGGCATGTTAGATAAAAATTCAAAAAATGGAATGTTTGTTAAGGAAAATATAAAATACAAATGTAAATAAACTGAACATTCCAAAATTTTGGAAAGCTTGTCTTTAATTTTTAAATTCTGTAAATATAAAGTGTCAATTTTTTCTTTTGAACAATAAATTTCGTCTTCTTTCAGCTGTAATAAAGTTTGGTAGTACTATTTTTTTATTAAATTAATCAGCGAAATGGAGGTGGGTGGGTGGGCGGGGTTTATTTTTTGCTCCTCTGTCGAGTGGGAGGGGTAATTAACTGATAGAAACTAGGCTGTAAAAAAGCGCTAGTCGTAACTATATTGTTGTACTATTTGTTATAAGAATTGTTACTTATTTGGGAAGAAAAATAAATGAGACAACGGGGTGGGTGGGCGGGGCTAAGTTTAGCTTTTTCCGAGAGAGTCGTTTATAAGCAAGCAGTAGGCCCGCCCACCCACCCGCTCTTCATTCTGGTGAGTACTCTTAATATTTTTAATTATTGACAAAATTATTGTCCTATTAGAATCTTCGACAAATCTAATAACTGCTAGTGAGAAAACAGTTAAATTGTTATTTCCTTGTAAAAATTGTTCGATCAACACCTTTTTCAAATTGTTTTTGTTCTTTTGTAGTAATAGTGGTAATAATGTTGTATACGCCTTATTACATATAAGTACAACATACGTTAATGGCATGTCAGATAAAAATTCAAAAAATGGAATGTTTGATAAGGAAAATATAAAATACAAATGTAAATAATCTAAACATTCCTAAATTTTGGACAGCTTATCATTAATTTTTAAACTCTCTGAATATAAAGTGTCAATTTTTTCTTTTAAACAATAAATTTCGTCTTCTTTCTGCTGTTATAAACTTTGGTAGTACTATTGTTTTATAAAATTAAAAAGCGAAATGGAGGTGGGTGGGTGGGCGGGGTTTATTTTATGTTCTTCTGCAGAGTGGGAGTGGTAATTAACTGATAGAAACTAGCCTGTAAAAAAAAGCGCCAATCGTAACTATTTTGTTGTACCATTTGTTATAAGATTTGTTTCTTATTTCAGAAGAAAAATAAATGAGAGGACGGGTGGGTGGGCGGTGCTAAGTTTAATTTTTTCCGAGAGAGTCGTTTATAGGCAAGCAGTAAGCCCGCCCACCCACCCCCTCTTCATTCTGGTGACTACTCTTAATACAGTTAATTATTGACAATATTATTGTCCTATTAGAATCTTCGACAAATCTAGTAACTGTTGGTGAGAAAACAGTTAAATTGTTATTTCCTTCTATAAATTGTGCGACCTACACCTTATATTTCAAGGGTTTTTCTTCGTTTATACTGATAGTGATAATGATGTTGTATACGCCATGGTACATATAAGTATAACATACGTTAATGTCATGTCAGATAAAAATTCAAACAATGGTATGTTTGATAAGGAAAATATAAAACACAAATATAAATAATCTAAACATTACAAAATTTTGGAAAGCTTGTCATTAATTTTTAAATTCTGTAAATATAAAGTGTTAATTTTTTCTCTTAAACAATAAATTTCGTCTTCTTTCTGCTATAATAAATTTTGGTAGTACTATTTTTTTATAAAATTAATCAGCGAAATGGAGGTGGGTAGGTGGGGGGTTATAAGTTCTTATTCAGAATGGGAGTGGTAATTAACTGATAGACTCTAGCCTGTAAAAAAAAGCGCCAATCGTAATTATTTTGTTGTTCTGTTTTTCATAAGACTTGTTTCTTATTTCAGAAGAAAAATAAATGAGAGAACGGGTGGGTGGGCGGGGTTAAGTTTAACTTTTTCCGAGAGAGTCGTTTATAGGCAAGCAGTAGGCCCGCCCACCCACCCCCTCTTCATTCTGGTGACCACTCTTAATAGTGTTAATTATTGACAATATTATTATCCTATTAGAATCTTCAACGAATCTAATAACTGTTGGTGAGAAAACAGTTAAATTGTTATTTCCTTCTATAAGTTGTTTGATCTATTACTTATATTTCAAGGGTTTTTTTTTCGTTTATAGCTATAGTGATGTTGTATTCGGCATGTTACATATAGGTACAATATACGTTAATGCCATATCTGATAAAAATTCAAAAAAATAGAATGTTTGATAAGGAAAATATTAAATACAAATGTAAATAATCTAAACATTCCTAAATTTTGGACAGCTTGTCATTAATTTTTAAATTCTCTAAATATTAAAGTGTTATTTTTTTTAAACAATAAATTTCGTCTTCTTTCTGCTGTAATAAATTTTGGTAGTACTATTTTTTTATAAAATTAATCATCGAAATGGAGATGGGTGGGTGGGCGGGGTTTATTCTATGTTCTTATG